CCAACTCGAAAATGAGCTACAAACCGCTAACTGTCAGCCCTTTGCCACTCGAAGGGCAGAATCCACTCCACTGACAAAAATACAACATTACACCCGTTTACAGCTTCAACAATGACACAAAATCAAAAAAGACCATCTCTTTTATAATACTCAACAAATGAGAAACATTATCATTAGCCCGCTAGTCTATAAACAAACAAACACTTGATAAGAGCCCGTGAAGAGAGCCGCCAAAGCCGCTTCAGAATAGATTACAGCATAAAAGCTTCTATGACAATCATTCTCACATTCTTTATGATATAATCCTTTTCTTTTCTTTGCCCCTTTATAGCGATAAAGGGATTAACAAATGAGGAATTATGCGTTACAGTATTTTAATCTCAAGAGAGGCGAGGTTACAGAGGACACAGAAAAAAAACAAGTACAGTACCGCTAACATTTCAATAAAAAAAAACACTCAGCGCTGGTAAAATAGATTTGCTGATGTCCATGAAAAGAGCAGCAACGTGGTAGATTAGATTTATTTGTACCTCTGCATTTGATTGACAGTGTATTTATATCCACAATAGAGAAGGACCTCTTTTTTAGGTTTAAAAGATCTAGCATGACAAGACGGATAATCTCTAATCACATTGGCAAGGTAAGATAGTGTACTATGGGGATTTTGAAGTGCCTGTTGTAAACCTCTGCCAATTGAGACTCAAATTGGACAAATAGTGAGTTCAAAGAGAACAAATCACTTGATATTCTATTTGAGCACAGCTTTACAGACACATTTTGATCATGTGAAAGGAGAAGGGGACAATGTAATGAATTTCATTTGCTCCGAGTTTAAACATTACTTATGTGTTTATGACAACAAATATAATGTAAAGACTGATGCCTTAAACATAAAAGCACTTAAAGCCATAACAAATCTGAAAGAATATGAATTTTTAGCATCACATCCTCTGCATATTATTTTCAGAAAAAATAAACACTCAAGCATGCATCAAATGTAAACAGTCTTGAGTCATTGTAATAAACTTTTACGATTTTACACAAATACTCTAGAATGTATTACAGAGTGTTATAGGTAATTTGTTTGCCATAAGTGACAATGAATAAAGCTGTGATGGGGGAAAGGGTATTACTGAACCGACCTCATCTCTGAGATCCTAATGCCCCTGGGCTTTGTGACTAGTTCTCTATTGAGAGTTCAACTTCATAACCCACTTTTCCAGCTACAGATCTGTTCTTAGTCTTCATCTCAATCTATTCAACTCATGAGCCAATAAAGAAAAATCATTTGAACTGGGTGGATCATTTTTAGCCATCAAATCTACAATCTATCCTTTTACAGACACCCTTAGATACATTTTTAAACTGAAAACAGATAAGCAGAGTTATTGGGAAAAGGAGTAACTAGTTTAATCTGCCTGTCAAACATAAAATTATAAAGTAAAATCCATCATGATCAACAGAGTATGAATATTCCTACACAACAAATAACTGATCGACTATAATCGAGTAAACCTTACCTCCCAGATCATCACTATTGCACAGTAACAATTTCACTTCATTTAAAAACAAAATGAATTATTATTCTGAAATTAACCACATTTTCTGTCATCAATTCATATCTGTTCATACACTACAATTTAAATATGAATGTTTGTTCTGCAAGCTTCAAAATCTTATTTTACTGTTTGGATTTGGCTAAATAACAATTATTTTATCAGATCAATAACAAACTGAATTGTTCCTAACAAACTAAATGATTAAAATATCAGGCTTGCCACCACACATAAGCACAGCAACAAGATATGACAAAAGAAAATAGAAAATATTTCTAAACCTCTTCTGGTAGTTAAGAAACCAAATTAACAAATTCACAAAAATAGTCACTTCAGTGACAAGAACATGAATTAAAGATTTGTGGTTAATTACTGTCGAGCACAGCAATAAAATCAAGTTATTAAAGCATATCTAAATTGTGAGCACATTTAAATATACATTATTTGGACAACATTTCAGAATAATTTTAAAATAGTAATTACATGCTTAAAACATCATCAATGCACTGTAAATGTATCATTTTAAACTGATTATAATTATATACAAACAATATTTATATTTTAGAAGAATGAGAAGCACATTTGAAACTATTCACAGTAATAAATGTCATCTGTTACATACATGCAGCTCTGCACTATATTTTTTCATGCTTCCACTCCCTTATTGCAAATACACAGGACTCCATAATAAAACATCACATGAAAACAGGGAGAATCCTGAAAGGAGCACAGGCTGTTCAGTAAAGCACTGCTTAATGTAAGCCAAAATGTAAGAATCTAAAAGTAACATACAGCAAGGGAAAGTGCAGCTGCTATTCAAGACATTATGCAAACCCATAAAACCACTGCAATAGAACTTTCACAAACTGCATAAAAATACTGGGACATTTCTGTTCTAAATAGATATTCAATACCAGTTTACAAAAACATCTTTTTAAATAATTCTCTTAGAAATTATTCTTTGTTCACATTCTAATTATTGAAGTTGTACATTTTTTTTAAAAATATGAAAACCTGTGAAAATAAACTGTATGACAATTGTTACAAATGTGCTCCATTATTAGATTGAGTTGTTAAAATTCTATGTAAAATTTATAATTACTTTTCAGACAGCTGACTAAATGTTCAGGTACAAGGTAAAAAGTTTAAAAGCATTGCTCATGAAATTCTGATTTGTGTTTTACAGCTTGATTTGAGAAAATATAAAACACAACTGGCCACTGAAAACACAATGGATCACTGACATACAATCAAACAGTAGTTGATAACTTACAGATCAATATGCCAATTTGGCAAAAACAATACTCATTTAAAATGTAATATGTCTATTTAGCCTTAGACTATCTATTTTGTCATATGCTAATGTGATCATTTATATTATTTTAACATTGTTTTGGATGCTATATTTAAATACATTTACATGTAATATTATTTATCAAAAACAGCAATGATATGACTACTTAATACAAATCACAAAAAAATCAGCTGTTCAGCAAATGCAATATACCATAATAAACATTAAAACTAGCTCTAATTATTCACTTATGTGAGCTAATTAAGTCTCTTTAATTTTGTATTTTTAATTTAGCCTCTTCTAACAGAAACCAGTTTATCACAAGAATTTATTGTCAGCATGTATATCATTTTCTAAAGTCTTGCAGGAAAAAAAGCCCACCAGTGTTAAACAACTGCCAAACAATACAACAACTGATTAATAATAGGCTACTATAATTATTAAGGCAACAACTCTGTAAACAAGCAAGTCAGGGTATGAAAAAATGTAAGAATCAGATATATGTAAGAAACTGGCATCATAGCCTACACCTAAATGCCATTTTCTTTAAAGCTGTGTTAAATGCTAATGACATGAACCCGATTCAGTCGTAATTTATTAACTTTTTTAACAAGTAGGTCTTCTCTAAGGTAATTTAACAAAGTATGGATATATAAATTAAGCATATAAATGAAAACAGCTGTTACTAAACACACTCTTTAACGGCATTAAACACAGAATACACCAAGGATTCAGTGAAATATCGATAGCATTAACACAGGTTAATACAAATAATCACAACAGCAAAAACTAACGTGTGTGCTGCTCCACTGAATATCCACGTCACATGCGTAATGTATATTAGCAATGCTCAGTACGTATAAACTAAAATGCACTGTAAAATTACACTGACGTAAATAATAACCGAAATACCTATATTCACGGACAATGTGGACATGGGAGACTGCAGTACCATATCTAACTCTTAAAACACATTCGCGCCTTGTGTGTGAGGATTATATTCCGACATAAATGCGTCCAAATATCGCACATGTGTAACCTGAGTCGCTCCAGTTCGCTTCAGATTACACTTCTCATTCTAGAAGCACTCTAGAACTGCGTTGAACGTTCTAGAACGAGCTGCACACACACGTTCTGCTCGTGCATGCTGCTTTCAGTCATGTTAGGTTGACTCTAGCAGCAGCATGGCCGACTCTTCCAAATCAAAGATTGGCCATCTTGACTGCGCACTTTATGCAACACGCTCCCCGAGTTAAATGCGACCCTCTGAGGCGCCAGAGACCAGTATTAATATATGTTTACCGAAATAACGCTTCTACACCTTTACAGCAAGGTTATTTTTCAATTTAAGCGTTGTGAGTGACGCCTTGTCTGACAAGGAGACGCCGTAACAGGCGTGCTTTTGACATGAACTGTAAGTCTGTACATGTAATTTTACATAAGCCCTTAAATCTAAAGGTTGTGGGCTGTTCTCTAGCCATTTCTATGCCGCCCTCCCGTGGAACACAAACGCAGGGCCTATAGGGGAAATCACGTGGGCCACGGAAGGGCCTAAACACTCGCCATGAGGTCATGCACAATGATCTTGCTCCAATTCAAGCGTAAGAAAAAGGGCGTAATGTCAGATTTCACATATGTTTCTATTAAAACTTAATTTCCATATTTACATTTACTACCTGGAGCTATTGTACGTAAAACACGGCGTGTTCTTAAAGCTTTTTTTTTTTTTAGGGAAAATCTGCTAGATTATGCAAGGAAACACCCAATATCAATATTCATTTCTACGCCTGATACATTTAGAGAGCGCTTTTACAGTTTATAACTAAGGTAAAACAGCGTATTTTGAGTCCAGGCCATATTGTGCCAGTATTAATGCTTAAGGCGAACTGCAAACGAGCGCATTAACACTGACAAGAAATGTATTAATTAAAAATGCACGTCAAATAAAATGAACAGGCAAGAAGAACATGGTATTAAAAATAAAGGTTACGCCTGAGGGACAAATACACAAAATAACCTCAAATTTAAATTGAATTTTCCATACACATCACAGCTTCACAAAGACAAAACACTGCACCGCCAAATTCAAATGCGACAGGGTTCATGCTTCTTTGCACTGCTAAAGCATATAAATAAAGCCAAATTATTACCTTAGTTTTTTAGGAACAGAGTAGTCGACCTCGATCACTTTCCCATGTAATTCAACTTTCCCTGCGAGCAAGAAACAAAACAAATGATCACAAAATTACATTCCTCCAGTGCATTGACACTGCTGAAATATGTATTTCAGCGTTTTTACTCCTATTTATAAAACAAACAACCGTGCGTGCAACGTAAATACGTGGGATACAATCACACGTGCAAGTTAGTGCTTATAAATGCACGTCGGCGACGTAGTGAGTTTTATCATGTCTACATGTAAGGTGTAATATCTTTACCACATTTCCTATTATGCCTGATGATATTATGCGAAATGCTTGATGAGCTGATACGATATGAAGAATGGGCAGCCATGCTTTCCACTCCCACTAACCACATACGAGCAATGAGGAGAGTTTGAAGAATGGGAGGTCAAAGGATACGACTCTTCTGCCTAAATTTGCCCTGTTTCTTCAAGTAGGTTTGGATGTGTACTTTTCTGTTGCATGCACAACGGCTCGCGAGCGTGAAAGAAGAATATTTAGGTGTTGTGCTGTGCATCTGTTGTGTATGAGTGGACTGGCGCAGCACAAAAATTGGCATCTCACCTCCGTCCCCCCCAGCTACCTGTTTATTAGCACTTTCCTCCAGACCCCCATCACCCACCTTTAAGACACCTCGTAAAAACATACCTGGACACCATAGGAACATGCATGTGACGCCTTCTTCTCGCTCAGGTCGCTCGCTTCTTTTCAATAAAATCAAGACAAAAAAATAACTGAAAAATAATTATGCCTGCCACCCGAGCATCAGACCCATCCGATACATTCCTATGGGCCGTTGGCTGAGAAATCACCCCCGTTCAGCACCTCGGCTCGGCGAAACAAGCGTGCATTTAAAGAATTCTAGCATAAATTCAACTTGTATCGCGTATTGGAAGCGAGCGCGCGCGAGTGTAATTGAGCTCGCGGCGTTCATTCGCGCATTTTGCGAAGAACCGGAGCAGCGCGCGGCTGATGCGCGAGCGTTACTTTTTCTTTTCTTTTCCAGGAAAGTCTTTTACGGTGTCAGTCCAAGGTATATATATAACCGCGACTTTGCTCGACGTGAAAAACGCACTTACCAGATAGAGTCTCGATGGCTTTAATCGCCCAGTTCTGGTCGGGGAAGTCCACGAAGGCATAGCCGGATTTGAGCAGGACCTGGTCGGTCACGGGAAGCTTCCTCTCGCCGAAGAGCTGCTTCAGGTCCTCCACGGTCACCGAAGGACTCAGATTCCCCACATAGAGTTTGTTCATGGTCTATACTAAAATATGTACGTCCAAATATATCGGCGCGTGCAATGGATTGCTCGAAGTAGGTAAAATAAGGAGAAAATAAAATAGAAAGAAATAAAATAAACGTGCTGAAAATCAGCAGTCACCCCCCAGATGCAGCCGGACCCCCCTGCTACATATACACAACTCTGTTCCTGCTCAAACTCTTTTACTGGGATTGAAAAAAAGTGTCGTTACGACGTTACTCTGTTGCCAACAAGCGCCGCCTCTAAATAAAACCGCTCTTAAATATCACAAAATCACTTTTGATGTGTTTATGGACTTAAATTGGTGTCTGGTGTTTAATTTGCCACCATAAATCATTGGATAAGGCATAATGATAAGACTCAGTAAGCAACACAGGAGGGTTAGTTCATTTAAATCCACTTACAGAGAGAGAATGTCTGTTCAAGTCAATATATATTGTAATGACAGGTCATACAGCCCTTAAGCTTGTGGTAATAAACGGATGTATGCGTATTTAAAACATTTTCAGAAGCAGTTTTCATTTACATTTGTGATTGACAGCTTGATTGGCGTCTTTAGGGTGTTGTGGATTGATGGGCGTTTTCCTCTGTCCCTTGTGAGAATAACTCGTTTTGTTTTATATTGGTTTACAGTCTTCGTGTTTGATTCGATATTTAATGTACGATTAATAATTGGGACTGTAAAACTGTAAGCACAGACTCCAAAGAGAATAGCAGCTGGAAAATGGGACTTTCTCTGGGAACGCCCATGTCAATGGAAAAGAAACAGGAATGTGGAGAAACCTTATGGAATTATGATTTAGGAGGCGCATAGCCGTTATATATGAATATAATGCATTGATTCCACTTATGTAGACTGTGGTAAGAGCCTTCCAAAGAGGACTAATTTTTTAGCAAAATCTCAAATCATTTTTTATTCCATACGTGTATATATATATATATATATATATATATATATATCAAAATTAATAAATTATTGAATATCCTGATGATTTCATTCATTGCAATAGTATGCTGAAAGTCAATCTGTGGGGGGATTCTAACATTAGGTCTTTTACCTGAAAATTTGTTTGCCCCCTTCTGCTGATTTCTGTATTTAGAAGACTATACATCAGTACAGGATTGCTCTGTATTGCAGTATAATGGGGTTTTCTCCTGTCTCAAAAACATTTATCAGAGCTCCAAATCAGACCCTATATTATAGGTCTCCAAATGCAGCAGTGCCGAGTAGCAAAAGTGTTACAAATGCCTCATAACACAATCTATGACTAAACTGGGACCAGTTAATGTCAGTTTGTGCTGCTTAAAAACACCTTAAATATATTAATGATGCTGATTTCAGAACTTCAGAAAGCCAATTAAAATCCCTCCAAGAGCCAGCCAGGTACAGTAAAAGTAAGGAATCCCAGATTGGTCAGCTAAAGCAGACACCCAGTGTCCAAATTAATGCTAAATCCCTGAGTACTTTAAACTACATTTTTTACACATACTGGAGAAGTATTTTAGATGATCCTATTATTAACAATATATTCTCTGAGGTAATGAGACTTAAATTGGAACAGAGCTCTATTCAATAAATCTATTAATTTTACTGTAGTTCAAGGCAAATGTCTTAAGAGAAAATTTGTATGTATTACATAAATATGCTGTCCATAAATCTGCAGTGGAGTCACCTCAACAAGGATTTCTACATTTCTACACACAACTACAACAAGGATTTCAATCCTTTAGGTTTGAAACACAGATTTCAATGTTTTGAGTCATTCAAGCAGAAGCTCACATCAGGTGGGAGGTATAAAGCAATTTATTGCAAGCTTAAACTAGGCTTAAACTAAGCTTAAAACGCATAAAAACATAATGGGGTGTGAGCAGGACACTTTATCAAATAAAATAAATGCAAGTTCAGCATCGGATCGACAAAAAAAAAAAAAAAAACTGCACAAATATTCAAACTACTGAAATATCCAGATCAGTCAAAGACATGTGAAACCTTTAGGCAAAAAAATCAAAGGGATTGAGTTTAAAGTACATCCAAACTCATGCCACCAGAAATAAACATCTACGTCAACAAGAATGTCATTGTCATCAACATCATCTTCAGGGATGGCGAGGAGTCAAACTTCACTTCAGTAATGACCTGTAAAAACAAATAAAGGTTTACTTAATACTTTGTTTTATTTATTTATTTAACATACATTCGTCACAAATTACCAGAGCATGTACACTGTGTTGAGATTAAGCACTCTTGAAACATAAAGCCAGGGAGACAATAGAAGTAAAGTTTACTGTGGTAGCGTTTGTGCAGTACTTACGAGGGGAGTAGGAGCGAGAGCGTGATCTTGACCTGTACGGTCCTCGGCCGTAGTAGGGAGAGGGGGATCTTCTCCTGTGAACAGAAAGCTGAGATTTAATGGAAACCGCCACATCTACAGATCGTAACAAAGTGACATTCAAAACTGTAGCATAGCAAGCCATTTTAAAAGGTAAAAGGCATATAGCACATGCTTCATGTGAAAAAATATCTTGCAATGTGAACTGATGTAGTATGCAGTCTGTGGGACCATGGCTCAACAGTAAGAATAAGAGGATGTCCTGGGGCAAGTGTGTGAGTGTTTCAGACCAGTTGAATCAACTGTCACTTGCCCGATTTAACAAGTGGTGCTCATCAACTCTACACTTAACCTTCATTGATCTCATACAATTTTTGTTTTTCTAAAATCTACTGAATATAATTTCTGCTCATGTAAATGTTATCATTGTATTGTTATTTAGCTTTCTAACAGAGATTAGCATGTTCAAAAAATATGATTTGTGGTATTCCTGTAAGCACTCACTAATTATAAACTGATTTATAAAAAATAATATAAAAAATATTTTACCAGAAGAAGTTATGAAATTATATTTTTATGTATATTATTACTGATAATTAAAAACCTTAAAGAGCAGGTCATATGGGTTTTTGAAAAATCTCTCTTTTGCAGTTTATAATGTAGCTATCCTTAAATTAAAACACATTTGCATAATCCCCGCCTGCCGACAAAATACGAACAGAGTCTGACCTGCCCACAAACACTTCCGCTAGTTAGTGTGTTTACATCATGTTGAGAAGACGCTGTGTTCAAGGATACCACAGAAATACAATTCGAACCTTTTGTTGTGTGCTTGTCATTTTACCGAGGACTGCTTCTCTAATCTTGGCTTTTATCTTCTTGGTTTCTAATCTTCTTTATTTGGACTAACAAGCTCTCCGAACCACAACTTGTAAATACGATACATTATGTGTAAATTTTCAATTGAGTGCTCAAAATATAACTTTTTTTGTGCTAATATGTGATGTATACCTAGTGCAGCTTTAGTTTTCCAGGTAAAGCAAAACTCTGGACTTTTGGTAGTACCTAGGATAGCAAAGTCCACTAAAGTCGTTGTTCTAATAATTACTTCGTTTAATAATAAATAATATAGTGTAGCGCACAGACTTTATAATCATTGTGAAATTGCTGTTTATTTTGCGGCACGGCAGTTATAGGGTTAATGCGGGAGAGACGAGCGAGTTGCAATGGTATAGGATTACATGGGCTAGGATGATTTGACTGGCTGGGGATTCTGTTTGGCCTGGTGGTTTGTTGGGGAACGGATGTGCTAATGAACAACATACAGAACTACCACATTTTTCTATAAGTTTGATTGCATCATATAATAATCGCTGTTAATAGTGTTCATTACGTCTTTAATTTATTTTTCCGTACATTTCTGCCATATGTACATTAACTGACTGTCACCACTGATAAGCTACCACTAAATATTGTAGAAACTTAATTTGCTGTAAAGTTGCTTTGCAACGATTTCTATCGTGAAAAGCGCTATACAAATAAACTTGAATTGAATTAAAGCATATTACCATCTTAATGAATTAGTTCTGATAATTCACTGTGAACCCACTATTTCCTAGGAATGTGTCGATTAATGTAGACTGTCGTTGTTCTAATAATTACTTCGTTTAATAATAAATAATATAGTGTAGCGCACAGACTTTATAATCATTGTGAAATTGCTGTAAGACTCTTGTGCTCACCAAGGATGCATTTACTTGATCAAAAATACAGTTAAAAACATTAATAGTCAAATAACCTTACAATTTAAAATAATTTTAATACACTTTAAACAATTTATTCCTGTAATGACTAGGCTTTTCAGCACCATTATGCCAGTCTTCAGTGTCACATGATCCTTTAGAAATCATTATACGAGATGATTTGGTGCTCAAGAATTTTTTTTTTATTACTATCAAAGATGAAAACAGTTGTGCTGCTTAATATTTTAATTTAACTTAACTTTAAACTTTTTAGCATGGTAGTGTGTTTAACAATATACTACATATAACATTAAATATTTAGTACTGAAATGAGTAACAAAATCATCTGGTTAAGCACAAATCTAATCCTTATTGTTGAGCCATGTAGGATGGTGGGATGTCGCTACAAACACATACAGACTGTTGAACAGTAGGGGGAATCACCTGTATGACCTGCTGTTGTAGTAGTCACGGTCATCATAGCGATCATATCCACGCTCATAGCCTCGTTCATAGTAATCACATAAATAATAAACTGCAAATATGTTCAGGATTCTGCAACATTTTTTTCGGATTTTCTTGCCAATTTTAAGTCAAAGTGCACAGGATATTAAAATTCATCGCAAGCTTTGGCAGGCGTGTAAAATGATACTAGTGGGGCAGTCGTGCCGGTGTCCTCCCGAACTCAACAGTGCCCCACAAATTTTACAATGTAAATCTGTGGTAGAAAGTGCAACTGCAGCACGCTTTAATTGAGAGCCATTTAGGCAGTTTTGAGATTGCCCCGCTTATTTTCACGTTACCCTATCTCGCTCCAGACCAGGACGATATCTGTCAGTTGATTTGGTTCAAAATAAGTCAGACTAACTGAAATAAGCCTGGCTTATTTGGTAAACTTGTTTTATGAAACAGGCGCAAGAAAAATGATTTGAATTCAACATTGATCATTGAAATACACAACACTGATCAAGACCATTAACTATAAGAGATATTCAGTTATTAGCAGACACGACTCATCTGTAAGGGCAGAGCCCCACCAAAATATTCACCCAAAACACAGAGCTACAGTCAGTTGATTTGGTTCAAAATAAGTCAGACTAACTGAAATAAGCCTGGCTTATTTGGTAAACTTGTTTTATGAAACAGGCCCCAGGTCAGAAACTAGCTGGCATGTGTTTTTCCTTTGTGGAGTAGTGTTCTAAATTAATTTAAAAGTGTTAATCCTTTAATTCAAATGTGCTCACGTGAAAAGCCTTTATATAGTTTGATTAGTGTTTGTTTTGAGATGAGACATGATATTCGT